AAAAAAAAAAAAAAAAAATAATCTAAAACTTTGATATGTTACAGATTCAACATAGTTATCACACCAGAAAAATATACCACAACCATACATATGAGCATCTATATAAGCTTCCAGCAACTTCAGAAAATTTTAGATGTGTTTCATTCTTACTGCAGGCCTATAAGATAACAACAACGGAACTAATTTTATGTTTCCCTCCACAATAATATGACAATGAAACGCATCCATGAATACAACTTAATTCGCATGCTAATTGCTGTGAACTATTCGAAAACAACTCCAGGCCTTTTACAACTAACTCTCATGTCTCTTTCTTTTCTTAACTTCAGTCAGAACTCAACTAATACAAACACTACAGGTCACAAAATAAATTGAACAATAAATTTGAAAGTAAATCACATACACCAGCATACAACAACACAAATCATGTACAATTTACTGCTCATATCATGCCACAACCAGGCCTCAATATAAAGCACTTCAGGCTGGTTCTTTTTCTTTCAATTATCAAACATCAACCAAAATACAAACTAATGACAAACACACTAGTTTGTGATATTCAAGGGTCTGCTATAATACAGATGATAGTATGTAATTGGTAGCCAATGAACAGGCCTCATACAATATTATTCAAAGCAGAAGAAAGAATATATCATTTTACCAAATCATGGTCTAGTATGAACATCACTTTCAAACATATAAAGCTCCACCACGTCGTCCTATTAAGCTACTTCATCCGATTATTAGACAACAGTGTTACCAATACAAAGTACAATGAACAAATCACTGATCTTGATGCAGCAGGGTTTCCATTTAGGCAAAACTATTAGCTGTTCACCACATCCAAAATATCTCACCAGTTTCCTTATGATCCATCGAGTAACCGAAAAATTAGAAAGGGCTTGAACTTGTATTCATGCATAAAGTAAGAACAAAACTCCAGCAAATGAAATCAAAACCTAATACAAGCATTTTCAAGATAAAACAAATACAGAAACAAAGAAGAAAACAAGAACCCACTTCAATTACCACACAATAGAAACACAATTCAACAAAAAAATCAAATCTTGGGACACCCATCTTGGACCCAATAAATTAGACCAAGGAAAAAGAAAAAAAAAATCGCAGTAGAAAGAAGAGTGAGAAAGAAAGTAGATTGAACGTACCTCAAAATTTTGACTTCGAATTTAGGGTTCTCGGTTTTGGGTGCGAATGTGGTTTGGGTGAAAGCACCGATGAGTGAACGAGATTGACGGAGGATGGTACAAAAATGACGAAGGGCAAAATTGTACTTGGAATTATAATGCATTCAGTTTAATCATGTGTAGCAAATAAAAGATTGGATTAGTAAAAACTGTATAAAGATTAGTAAACTAAGGACAAAAACTGACGTGGCAAAGGATAGTAAGTTGGTGGGACTATTTTGTTTAATCCCGTCCGCGCTAGTAAACGAGGCCTAAAATAAACCCCATAGCTTGTCGTCTGTTATAGTAGTATACCCAATGTTCATGACGAAGCCCCCAAACCCGTGGCCTCCATCATCACGCACGAGTCCTCCCGCTGTAGACTGAATAAAAGATCCATCGGTATTAATTTTAACCGCTGTAATTTTTAAATGTATATGAATGGAGTACTTTTTTCATTTTATCAAAATTCCATTTTCATCTTCTTTGTTGTGTGATAAATGAATGATAATCCCTCCTCTTTCAAATTCAATTCCATAGACGTCCTTCGCCTTCTCCGACCTCTTTCTTTCATCCCCAGCTCTTATATCCTCTCTCTGCCATCTCTTACATTAACCATCATCCTCTGTGATATTCTCCACCCCATAACCCTCCAAGCAACACACACGCACACACACAAACTGTTGGTCAGAGGGGGGAGAAATGGAGTGCAATGCCGAAACCCTACGATTCCTGTCCCAATGCTTCCTCAACACCTTATCGCCGCTTCCGGAGCCCCGCCGCCGTGCGGAGGCGGCGCTGGCGGAGGCCGCCGATCGTCCCAACTACGGCCTTGCTGTCCTCAACCTCGTGGCCGAGGCGTCCGTCGACGAGCAGATCCGTCAGTCTGCCGCAGTTAACTTCAAGAACCACCTCAAGGCCCGTTGGACAGTACAGCCCAACGACTCAGCTCAAAAACCCGTGCTCGACGTGGAGAAGGAGCACATTAAGGCTTTCATTGTTACCCAAATGGTTAAGACCTCGCCGAAAATCCAGGCTCAGCTAAGCGAGGCTTTAACCATCATTGGAAAGCACGATTTCCCTAGAGCGTGGCCTAGTCTCTTGCCTCAATTGGTGGCGACTCTGGATGCATTGAGCCAAGCTAACGACTATGCTTCTGTCAATGGGGTTTTAGCCACCGTTAATTCCTTGTTTAAGAAATTCAGGTACCAGTATAAGACGAACGACCTGATGCTAGATTTGAAGTATTGTCTGGATAACTTTGCCAAGCCGTTGCTGGAAGTATTTAAACGGACTGCCAGTTTCATAGACCAGGCCATGGGTTCTGGATCCCCTAATGCCAGTGCTCTCAAGGGTTATATAGAGTCCCAGAGGTTGTGTTGTAGGATATTCTATTCGCTCAACTTCATTGATCTGCCCGAGTTTTTTGAGGATCACATGGATGAATGGATGATCGAATTCAATAAGTATTTGACTGTGAAATATCCTTCTTTGGAAGATGGTGGAGGTGATGGGCTTGCTTCTGCTGATGGGTTGCGGGCTGCCGTTTGCGACAACATTGGCCTCTATATGGAGAAGGAGGAGGAGTTATTTGAGAAGTATTTGCGAGGGTTTGTGGATGCTGTATGGGGACTCTTGATAGTTTCCTCCAATGATTCTACCAGGGAGAGGCTTACTGTAACTGGTATAAAGTTCTTGAACACTGTCAGCACAAGCGTTCATCATAACTTGTTCGCAAGTGACAATATTTTGCAACAAATTATCCAGAGTATTGTAATTCCCAATGTGATGTTGAGGGATGAGGATGAAGAGCTTTTCGAGATGAACTGCGTGGAGTTCATACGAAGGGATATAGAAGGTAGTGACCTTGACACTCGGAGGAGGATTGCTTGTGAACTCCTTAAGGGAATTGCTGTAAATTACAAGGATAATGTGACCCAGAAGGTTTCCATTCAGGTACAGAGCCTTCTGGCATTGTTTGCAGAGAATCCAGCTGCAAACTGGAAGCACAAGGACTGTGCTATCTATTTGGTCGTCTCTCTTGCTATGAAAAGAGCTGGCGGAAACTTTATAACAACTGACATTGTTGATGTTGAGAGCTTCTTCAGCTCTGTAATTGTTCCAGAGTTGAGAAGTCAGGATGTGGATGGGTTTCCAATACTGAAAGCTGGGGCATTGAAATTCTTCACCATGTTTAGGCACCATATATCGAAACATGTGGCGGTGGCTCTGCTACCTGATGTGGTCCGTTTCCTTGTGTCTGAGTCGAATGTGGTGCATTCGTATGCTGCCAGCTGCATTGAGAAGCTCCTCCTTGTCAAGGAAGAGGGGGGGAGGCCGAGATACGCCGGCAATGATGTTAATCCATTTCTGCTTACATTGATGACCAACCTCTTTAACGCTTTACAGAAGCCAGAGTCTGAGGAGAATCAGTATGTGATGAAGTGCATCATGCGGGTTCTAGGGATTGCTAATGTTTCACGTGAGGTTGCTTTGCCTTGCATCAATGGCCTGGCATCTGTACTGAACAGGGTTTGTGAGAACCCGAAGAATCCCGCATTCAGTCATTACCTGTTTGAATCTGTGGCTCTTCTCATCAGGCGCGCCTGTGAGCAGGATCCATCGGTTATTTCAGCTTTTGAGACTAGCTTGCTCCCCAGTGTTCAGATGATTTTATCCAGGGATGTCATTGAGTTCTTCCCGTATGCGTTCCAGTTGCTGGCACAACTTGTTGACTTGAATCGCTCTCCTTTGCCAGCGAATTATATGGAGATTTTTGCAATTCTCCTCCTCCCTGAATCTTGGAAGAAGTCTGCAAATGTTCCAGCTCTTGTTCGTTTGCTCCAGGCCTACCTGAGAAAGGCACCACATGAACTAAACCAGCAGGGGCGGTTGTCTAGTATTCTTGGCATATTCAACACGCTAGTCTCCTCTCCTAGTACTGATGAACAAGGCTTTTATGTGCTCAACACAGTGATCGAACATCTCGGCTATGATGTGATCTCTCCCTACATTAGCCATATCTGGGTTGCTTTGTTCAAACGACTGCAGTTCAACAGGACTGTGAAGTTCACCAAGTCTCTCATTATATTCATGTCACTCTTTTTGGTGAAACATGGACCTGAAAACCTCGCTGGTTCCATGAATGCCGTTCAGCCTGACATTTTCCGCACAATTGTGGAGCAATTTTGGATACCAACTCTCAAGGTAATCACAGGCTCAATGGAACTCAAGTTGAGTTCGGTGGCCTCAACTAGACTTTTATGCGAGACTCTGTCCGCATCAGATCCGTGTCTCTGGGGAAAAATGCTCGACAGCATTGTTACGCTTATTTCAAGGCCAGAGGAGGATAGAGTTGAGGAGGAGCCCAATGTTCCGGATTTTGGTGAAACTGTGGGTTATAATACCACATTCTTTCAATTGCACAATGCTGGGAGGAAAGAAGAGGACCCTCTGCGTGATATCAATGATCCTAGACAATTCTTGGTTGCATCTCTGGCGAATCTTTCTACTCGTTCACCTGGAACTTACCCCAGAATTATTACTGAAAATCTTGATAAAACAAATCAAGCTGCACTGTTTCAGCTTTGTGGGTCTCACAATCTCACGATTGTTTGAGGTAGAATATGTCAATGGTAAGATTTACCATTCACGTACTACTTTTGTGCGTTTATCATCTTCCTGCAAACTTTGGAACATTTGGGTTGTGTGGGGGATTTGGCATTGTAGCTCATAATACTTAACAAAACCTGTTAAAGTCTACCTTATCTTTTGGTAGTTAGAAGCGAGTTTTCTCTTTTGTGTTTACTCCCTGAAGAAGGAGTTTTGGATTCCGATGTCTTACCAAATTATCTGTGGAAGAAATTTATATGAGACGGCAGCAATAGGACTATTGATGTTGCTCTTCTAAAATTCTGAGCAAAGTTCTAATCATTGAGAGTAGTCCACTAATCACCAGTAAGAATAATATAGAAGCCATTTCCATCTTCTAAGTTGCACATCTTTTTTTCTAGTCTGTCATAATATGACGAAATTAGAAATCCTATCATCATCCCCCCTCCCCACCCCCCAATTTTTTTTTTTTNTTTTTTCAGAAAATGGCCTAGTTGGTGACAAATTTGTTCCATGGATCTGAGGGTTCATATGCAACCCCTGGGGATAATCTAGTTGCTTAGATCTAAAAGATGGATACTTGGATGAGATCTTCGTTTTTCAGGCGATTGGAGCATTGTAGCGGAAGGAGGGAATATGATTAACTAAATTTGATACACAGAGAGAGCGAGATGGGGCTAAACTGACTTACAATTAAGTAACAAAGTAATTGCTAAAAGTTTTACGAAATATTGTAGTTACTTGACAAAAAAAGAAAGATGCATAACCTAGTAAACGAGAACATATTCTACCATATACTTACCCGTCATTTACCATTTTAAAGTGTTACAGGTGAATGGTATTTTCTAGACTTGTGGTGGTTCTGCTATTATAAGTGCTATGCATTATTGTTTTTTATTCCACATTTGCATAATACTGCAATCTGTTTGCCTACATGATGTTTAACAATTGCACCTTTGGACGCATCAAGCGTCTGAACAGGAGTATGCTATGTATATCCTTTATTACGGATGACTAGAATTTCAGGAGAAGATCGAGTTAAGATGATATATAACTCTTTAAGTATAATGTTTAAGGCATTGTCATGTGGCTGCCGAGCCTGTAACACTTATAAATTATGCTATGATTGAATTGAAAGCTGACGATGCAGAATGAACTTGTTGATCGTAACTCGTTAAATTAAATCTGTTTCACATTAATATTTAGTCAATCCCGATCTCCTTCCATGACTATGTTTTGGGTACATATATTTGAAACCATATTTCGGTTTTGCCGTGGCTTTTGTTACAGTGATAATAACACGGTGTCACTTTTGTTTTTATTTTTAGTGTTCTTTAAATTTTAATGGTTTCCACTTGTAGCTGAAAGAATATAATTACATTTGCCAGTTTTAGAAATAAATAATCCTTACTGCTCCTAGGCGCCCCTGTCATAAAATTCTTGTGCATAATCGATAATAATTCAATAATATGTATTTCCCTCCTCATTTGGTGAACCATCTTCAATGTGGTCTTTCGTGTACGTTGTATTTCTATTTCACTCTTGTAACTCTCTTTTTTGTGTTCTCCTCCAGAAATGATTATGAATGATGGAAACGGAACGTATCTGGTCATGGTATTCAGGGTCTGGTCGTCTCAGTATTCTTCGTGAAGTATCTATTGTTGGTCCGATCACTCCCCTTATTTTCAGGTGGAGTGGGGGTTGTCATGATTCCCATTGGATGGAACTGTGAGTAGCCAGACCTTATGGATTTGGTTTTTTGAAGACTGCTTGTCGATTTTTCATCAATATATATATTTGCCTTGCCGTGAACTTTTTGTTTTCCCAAATGATGTGAAGGAATTAGGGCGGTAACTGGATTTTGATTCGTTGAGTTGAGTTCTTGAGATATTAACGGTTTTAGTTTTGCTGCCGTTGTTTGTCTTGTGTGTAGCTGTGAGTCTAGACATCATGCAGTATGGTTTTGTCCAGACCCACAATAACTTCACAATAACTACAAACATGGTCTCAACGGAAACTCAATAGCTCAATGCTTTAAGGGCAATATTCTGGCAAACTCGAAACTTTACCTCCTTTAGGTTGCAGTCAAATGTTACGAAAAAGTATTGAATAAAGGGCAATATTGCTGTGAATGTCGTTTGCCCTTTATTCAATACTTGTTCATCACATTTGACTGCAACCTAAAGGAGGTAACGTTTTGAGTTTGCCAAAATATTGCCCTTAAAGCATTTGAGCTATTGAGTTTCTGTTGAGACCATGTTTGTAGTTATTGTTTTGTTTTTACACACTATCAACTATTTATTTGGTGTTTGTTTTCGTGCGTGTGGCATGGTTAGGTCATAAGTGGATATCCACCCTTCACCTAATACATCATCTCTAAATCATTTGAATACTTGTTTATTTTCAGTTTATCAAAACCAATATCTTGAAGGTGGTTGTAGATCTATAATTCACTAATCAAAATACCTCCGACTTGATGATCGACATATTCATTGTTGATGAACAAACACAATGACGTCAGACATAATCCTGAAAATACATAAATCTACACTCGATGTCAAATAATAAATGACAAGAAAAAAAAACGCACATACACACAACAATATTGTAGTTGATTGTCAGATAAAAAATAGAACACGAAATTACCTTCAGGAGATTTTGATCATAAGATATTTCACGAACACTAAATTTTATCTTTCTCAGCTCGATCGATGGTTTTTCTTGACAGCGAGATGGATGATATTTTTCTTCGACCGCATGAGGTCGACGAACAAAAAATCCCGTCTAAAGTTTTGAATTCGTGAAACCTTGAATTGTTAGGTATCATTTTTGGTAATTTTTTTTTTTTTTTTTTTT